ATCATTTAATCGCATGCAACTGGCCGGACTCGGTAAATATTTCTTTAATGGTCTCTAGTAGTGTTTTTTTTCTAGATATATAGTTTATGACTCAGTCTTTAAGATGACGTATTTAAACTAAACTTAATCAATCAAAAATGGAAATATTATATAAATACATATATGTTGTTGCTTACTTCTCGTCTCTATTTATATCCGTTTTACCACTACCAACCTCGTTATATTTAGCTCCTAGATTGCTTGGGTTTGAATCTACCCGATTCCTCTTACTCAGCTGATATGGCGGATGAAATAGTCGTACAACACATGACCCAACAGCTAGTTGCAGGCACTGGCTCTTCCTTTTGCTATCCAGATTCACTTGATCCAGCTGGAATTGTCCGAGATGATGCTGGCGAACAGTCAAGAGAGTCGGAACGATTTATTACTCAAACTTCTGGCGGGCATGATCGCCTTTTCAGCGCCCGCACCTTCCTTAAGAGGCGTCCCACTTCAGAAAGACTCAAGGTAAACTGCTATATATTACATCTGTTTTTATCTCTTCTTTTACTTGGTCATGTTACACATTTTTCTTGTATACTTAGACGGCTATTTATTTTTTTAGTATATCAAATCTAATCTATATCAACCAAACCATTTCTTTATTTGTGTATATTCTCGGGATTTTTTACTCTTTTATCATTCATTCACTCTTTAATTCTTCTTACTTTTCTTGCTTTCATATAATTGACAAATTTTTTTCCAACATTTATATTGTTTTTGATCTACACATCTACTTAGAACTATTTCCATTCCTTATTATTCAAATAATTTTACTCTCACTGTCTGCCTCTCCATCTATTTATGAAATTTTCTTCAATATATGAGGCAAGTCATCACGACAAAACTGAACAATGCGGATTTTTCAAGGAAATTATTTATGAAGTATCCAATCAGTGGGAGCAGCAATATGCTTCGATTCAGCTTGTAAAGGGATTAATGACTACAGTAAGAAATTTGTATGTGCAGGTTTTCACATTGAGAGATAATAGCACAATTTACAAAATCCTTGTTGTGCTTTATTGTGTCCTACTAATCACTCACCGATTGATTAAATTTGCTTATTATTTGGTTGCTGCAGCATTTGTTAGTGGCAGTCTTGTTTCGCAACTATCAGAAGCCTGATTGTTGCAGAGACATACTAATTTTATCTGCTTTATTTACTGGAGCGATGATAACTCGGCCCACCCTGAATTGAAGAGATGGCTTTGTTTTTGCAGTGAATTCCACTTTGTACGTTTCTTTCACAATTATGAAAGACTCAGAAAGACTCAAGGTAAACTGCTATATATTACATCTGTTTTTATCTCTTCTTTTACTTCGTCATGTTACACATTGATGACAAAAATAAGCAATTACGGACTACAAAATTAGTAATCCGTCAGGCCTGATAACTAATACACGGTCGTTCGTCGCCACAAAATTGCCCACATAATGACATTAATTGAGAGGTGCCTGCTCTACCCTGAAAGTCATACTATTCTTCTATGAAAATGTGACTATGACCGTGTAGCTCATGAGTTAATGTGTTTTTCTCCTAACCAGTATTTCTATCCTCCAAATCTTCCTAAAGATTTTGATGAGACTCAGAGGAAGTCGAAAACTTAGTCAGGGTTGGATTAGAACGATCCTTTGAGATACGTGGCAAAGTAAAATTGAATACAGAATCAACTAGTTTTGCTATTCACTGCAATATAAAGAGCACTTGAACATGGTGTATCCTTACAATATTGAGCTTTCCGTACGGGTGAAATTTTCTTTTTTACTCTTCACAATTTTGGTCTGTATACTGGTAGCACTCTCTTTTTCCGAAACGGTTAAAATTTTGGGGTTATATACCCTAATTAATATACGTAAAACAGCATCTGAATACTAACGTGAACACATCTTTATATGTGAAAGAATAAGACACAAACGTTTTTTGTCAGCATAATCAATCATAACATTGGTTTATTTCCCATTGATCAAACAGGCGATGCCATTTTTTATTTACAATTCTAGCAAAAAGATTGTGAAAAAATGTTTGGTGATGTCACATAGGAAATAGGTTGAAGTGTGAAGA